GAGAGAGAGAGAGAGAGAGAGAGAGAGAGAGAGAGAGAGAGAGAGAGAGAGAGAGAGAGAGAGAGATGGTGGTTGATTGAGCTAGGGTTTCATGGCCTCTAGCTGCGTTCTTAACTGCTTTTGAGCTGCAAATATTGCAGACACACAAAACTGCCCTGTTCCTGCACTAGAAACAGTGAAAAAATGCGAAAACTTTTAGGGGCATATGGAACTGGAAACCCTGTACATGTACTCGGTACCCATTCAGATTGCAACACAGGGCAAAAGGAATCAAAGTACAGGGCAGAATGTGCCAGAAGCAACAAAAAATTTGGTTAAGTGTGCCTTTTCCTTTTCTTTTGCCTTGTATTCTTGCTGTCTGTTAATTTTCCATGCTCATTTTTTTTGGCCCTCGGCCGATTAAGGGCATACCAACACTAGGACTTTCTGTACATCTGCGGAAATTTTTAAGTGCGAGTATTCCCTAAGAGTCACTGGTCGTGAACAAGAGGTGCTGCTTCTCATTCATCTCTTGCCTATTCCTTTCTTTTGCCTTGCATTCTTGCTGTCTGTTGATTTACCGTGCTCATTTACTTGGCGTGTGGCATTATGACGATCAAGGGCATACCCCCATTAGAGCGTTCTGTACATCTGTGAAAGTTTTTAAGTGTGAGTATGCGCTAAGAGTCACTGGTCGGTGAACAAGAGGTGCTTTCAGTGTGGCTTCTCATTCTTCTCTCGCCGCCTGTTCCCTCTCTGTTTATTTTTCGCCTTTGCCTTCTGCCAGCTTCTGGGTGTGTGACATTTGACTGTAAGCAAGCGTGTGTACTCTGACTTGACCATATATGTATCTGCATGCCAACATTGCAATTAGGGCAATATTGCAATTAGGTGTCCCTGGACTGACTTAGAAAAAGGGGGAGAAAGGGAAAACGGTGGTTTCAATGGCATGTCCTTCTCTCGGCTCATGTTCCTGATCTCTGCTGATTTCTACATCTGATGCCTCCTTTCTGTTTCCTCTTTTTCCTTTTTTATTCCTTTTTTGAAAAGGGCGATGGTCTTGAGATATATCACCAACTGACCAGCCCCAGGCAGAGGTCGCCAACGGGTGGCCGTGACCGGACCTGACCGTACCCACCTGTATCCGGTAGCTTTGGATGGATGCGGGTATGCCCTCAAAGGATATGTAGTTGTCTGGCTGGGTGTGAATATGCGTGAGGATATGCAGGGTGGAGTTGGGCAGGGTGGGAATGTTTCAGGGGGGGCATGCCTGGGCGGGGTGGGAGAGTTTCAGTGGGGCCTGGCTGGGTGGTGTCTCAATTCCCTGGGCGGGTTGGCTGGGTAGAGATTTGGCCTAGGTGAGCCGAAGCCTGTAGGCCATACAACTAGTATAGGTACTAGTCTTCTAGGTAGTAGGTAGTATTAGGGCCAGGCCGCAATATTAATTTAGCCTGGGCCCTTTTCACCGGCAATGTGGCAGGTATTGGGGTCCTATTAGTAAAAAAGTGCATCCCTCATTATTATTTTCCTACCGTTGTTCTTTTTCACCTGTAGTGGGAGTAGGCTCTAAAATGGGCAAAATAGTAAAATACACTATTCAAAGGCTTTCCACGATTCGGAACCCAAATTCGGATCTCATGTCTGATGCCCAGGCCAAGAAAAGGCCGAGTTCGTCAAACTCAGAAAGTCACAATCGGGTACCTCAGCAGTCTGGTCCAACAGGCACCCAGCAAACAGTCACGTCTCAGGAACAAAGAGTCACGTCTCATAATAAAAGCCATTCAGAAGAATCACATTCCACGAGTGAAAAGGCAGATTCCCCAAGCAAGAGTCATGTCTCAAGACAGGAGTCACCTTTTCTAATGAAAAGTCATATTGAAGAGAGACATCCCACGAGGAAAAGGTAGTATCACAGGCAAAAGTCGTGACCCACAGGCAAGAGACACTGTCCACAGTCAAAAGTCATATTCACAAGTGAAAAGTCATGACTCAAGGGCCCAAGCAGCAGCAGTCCAATGAAAATTCGGGAAGGTTCCAGGCCTTGACATTCAGTAGCAGACAGGCCGTGGGGATGTGGTACTGGAGCCAGACAGGACCCAAGAAACAGAGGCTGGCAGGAGTTGAAGTGCAAAGCAAGACTTCAAAAGGACTGGCCAGCCTCACATTCGGGCAGATTGCTCATTCGCAAAGAGTGTGGAAGTGCTGGTGCACTTGTGCGCTAATGTGAGGGGCAGAGCGCTGAAGCCAGAGTGCTGCGCAAAAAGGGAGAGAGAGAGAGGAAGACAGCGCTGGCAGAGAGAAGGCAGCCATAGCTGCGCCAGCGCAGGGTGTTAGTGTTAGTATTTAGTAGTAGTCTTCAGAGAGTTAGTAGAGTTCACAGTGGGTGTATTCAGAGTAGATCTTTGAGGGTAGAAGTTAGTGTGAGTGTGCATGCATGTAGGGAGAGAAGATACAGCGAGGTCAGGAGCTAGGGAGAAGACCAGCAAGGAGGGGTGATACAACTAAGAGAGAGAAGAGCAGGGAGGAAGACGAAACTTACCTGGGTGATCATGGTGGATGATTGGATACCTATGACATGCACTGATGTGCGCCGGCGACTCAGAACTCCTATTGCTCTTGTATAACTTGTTGGAATTCATAAGCTGCGTTATCTGGTCTTAATCTCTCTGGTCTTCAGTGTGAACTCTGTGTGATCTCGTATATGCATGAAATGTGAATATGTGCATTCACTTGTGTCGAACTAGGAGGTTCATTGCACTATGCAGAGTCGCAGACTAACATGCATAGACCTAAGTTTGCAATCGGGGAAGAAAAAGAGTGGATGGTGGGTGGTAAACTTTGGGCATGGGTACGGGCGGGCATGGGTGGATGAAAATTGATCGTGGGCGCGGGCGGATGCGGGTGGAGAAAATTTAGACCAGGGTATGGCTGGGTAGGGGTAAGGATTCTGCTGCAGATGCTGGGTGAATTGGCCACGCGTACGAAAAATTTTAATTAGCTCGGGTGGGGTGGGTCTGGGTGGAAAAAAAAAAAATCGACGTGGGTGGTACTGGGTGCGGGTACAAATGATATATCAAAGGTTCGATTGGGTTGGATATGGGCGGGAGGAAGTTTTCGTTTGGCGACCTCTGGCCCCAGGTAGTTGAGAATTTTGTTCATCTTGATGGATTCTAATTTCTAACACAGGTCTGTATTTTAACAGTTCATGGGTGTACCAACTAAGCTAGGCCCGTTGGTACATCTGATGCCTCCTGGTTTATGTTTATGGTACGGTATGATGATTAGAAAGAGTCCATGATCTTTCAATCGGTCTGCTTAATTCACCAGTACGAGGCCCCAGCCAAGTTGAGAATGCGAGTGAGCCTTTCCTGAAATTTCGGAGGCTAGGGACAGGGCGTCCAAAGGGCCAGTAGAGCTTGGGAAAAAAAAATAAAAAAATTCCCACTGGCCCCCAGGTAGGCCCTGTCCCGAGTCCCCCAACTTTTCGGAGAGGGTCGTTCGAATTCTCCGGGTGTGCTGGTGGTTTAAACCACCACTATGTCCGAGCCTCTTTTCGCCCAGGCGGAAAAGAACTGCAGTCCAAGCTTTGCTGAAGCGCCAGCGCAATTTTTTGTTTTGTTTTTGTATCTGGCTGGCACCCCCAGCCAGATCCGAGTGGCGCATTGAGTGGACGGGTTGAGAATCCATGACGTGAATTCGTTATGGAGGTGCTGAGGGGGAGATGATGTGCACCATGATAATAATGCTGAACTCATCTTCTTCTACTATGTTCCATTCTGTGTAATCTGATTCTCATGGCACCTCGCAGCCATTGTGGTCCGGTGATGCCTCCGAAGAATGCGGCATAGGTTATACCACATTCTTAGGAGGTTTTGGGTTTGCCTGTGAAAGGTGGTGGTTCAAAGGGAAAAAAAAAAAAAAAAAAAAAAAAAGCGAGTCCATGATCTGACTCAACTGTTGGCGTTCTGTCAGTTTGTCAGCAGCAATGGCGAGGACAGGATTTCTACTGGCTCAGAGTGGCTATCCTCGATTATGCATACCGGTTGGGATCGCCTTCAGTATCTCGCTCAGCAGTGGTGGCTTTCTCTGTCAGGTAAGAAGAAGCTTTCTCTCCTCCTCAAAATACAGCTGCACTGCCATTTGTCGCTCCAATTCTCCTCTGACTCCCTCCTCAAGCTCTCTGACACCCTCTACAACCGAAGCCCCTCGCTTTATTGCAAGTTCGACAGTCTGATACCAGAACTGAACAAAAACCCTTAGTTGTCCCCTTCTCAAGTCGAGACGGATATTCCATCTATTACCAGCCCTTGCTTTCAATTTGTTTTGTGCTATAGTATATGTACAATATTCATCCTCCACAATGCAATCCCATAGGGGCCGCTCTTTGCCAGATGCAGTCCATTATTACTCTGCGGAGTGCATGATGAAATTTCAAATTAGAGTTTCTTTTTTTTTTTTTTTTTTTTTTTTATGGAAAAGGCGATGGCCTTGAGGCATCATCATTTGAATTGACCTGACCCAGGTTATTTCATTCAATTGATCACATAAGGAGTTGAACTCGAGTGTTTTATCAAAAAAAAAAAGAAAAAGAAAAAAAGGAGTTGGAACTCTGGTCTGCATATCAACAGTTCATCAGTGTACCAATCAGCCACATGGGCTGTGTTGAAAATTAGAAATCTTCACCCTCGGGTTGAAGGCATATTAAATATTATTAATCGTTTTAAAATTTAATAGCAAACACTGTGAAAGCAGTCGGTAGACTCGGTAAGCTATAGAAATGTGTACTGCAGTTGACCTCTCTGGCTTTACCCGCATGCATTTCTTGCCCGCCCTTTTCCTAGGCGGTACCGTTTGCAACTTGTACTGCATTCATCCCTTCATTTTACGCTTTCTACCTTCTCTTTAGAGTCCGTCAAGGCCGCCCAGTCTCTTGGTTTTATGAGGTGTATGAACTTCTGAAGTGAGCCGCGGGGGCCTCCAAGCGGCCCAGCTCTTCTTTCTTGGCGTCCACTGTGGGCCCGAAGACCTTTGCATAGGCGGCAGTGATTCAATCTCGGGGCTTTCCTTCCCAGCATTTGTCACTGCATCTACATGAGGGCATGCCTCCCTTATTGCTGGGAGTGGTGGATGTATCGTTATCGAACCGTATTGCGTTGATCCACGACGATCTGCACTTGGATGACTTGATGCAGGACAACGGAATACCGATTGTGTGATCAGTGGTGATGTTCGCTTCTGCTCGTTCATCTGTTGCTATCGAATGGGTCATATGTTAATCACAGAGATGTTTTTTGCTTTTATGTCAGGACGGAAAAAAGGGAAGTATTTTTTTCCTTTGTGTCATTTGCATCGTTTGCATCGTTTGTTTCTCTCATGGCTGTCTTAGTGTGGCAAATAGCAATATCATCATAGCCAAGACACGTGAGCAAAACCCAGTGTTTAAGACAAGATGAAAAGATGAAAAGAAAGTGAAAGCGAAGAAACAACCCACAAGACGAAGACGTAGACAGGACAAGTTTAGACACAGATAAGAGATAACCCGAGCACAGGTGGCGCGTGTCCTTGAAAATATTGAAAACAACAACGTGCCAGCGGCGAGCCTTGCGCGAACAGAAGAACAAAAGAATTCAGAACACGGTCGCCGTGATCCGACGCTGCGTTTCGGCCGGTCGCCGTCCCGGCCATCCTCAGGGGTCAATCCTGGCTCAAGGATGAAACACAACAGTTCAACATCCTATTTATACTTCAATCCATTCAGTTCCTCGCTAACCACAGTTTCAAACCCGCTAGTCCTAAAAATAGCCTAACAGAAGGTACTAGACCGTAACGTTTCAAGAAGGGCTGCCATAGTCCTGCAAAAGCACCTGGCCGAAAAGAGTGCCCGCACAATAGCCTTCCTAATTCTTCCAGTTCGTGAAGCACTGAACCCATCTACCCCATATGCCGCCCTGGTACCTCCCAGAGAATCTCTGAAGATTCAAGTCTAAGAAAGCATCAGGAAAACCTCGAATTCAAAGCTCAAATCTCAGAGTAAGCAAGAAACATGCAACACCACCCGGCATACTGTTCATCACTCTTGCTCTATGTAAAAACGGTGAGATAACAGCCATCTTTTGCTGCTTCGACGAGTACGACGAGAAGCTCTGCAAACTTTCAAACACAATACCTTGATCGAGTACACTTCTCTGATTCTTGTGTGTTGCAGCACATAGAACCTTTGCCGGTTGATCAAACACCTTGAACAACCTAAGTAGTCCCAACAGTTCCCATCGTTTGACTTCTCCCAAGTCCACTTTCTGTCGTAGCATCCTTCAAAACTTTGTAACCGATTCTCAGCATCTAATCTAAGACAGCATGGATCTTGTATGATACCAAGTGAAGACTGACACGTCATCAACCAGTCTAACCCCTGTAAACAGAGCTTGTTGTTTCCCCAAGGAGTGGCAAGGACCTAAAAAAAATGGACTCGTTGAAAACACATAACGAACAAGCAAGCGCCAGACTGTCTGGCTTACCCATTGGGAAACCCACAACCTGTCTCAAAACAACGTCCATACATGAAATGAAGGTACTAAGCAGATCAAAGCTGACCAATTCCAACAGTTTACGTATCTTCAATTTCAACCATCCTTCTGATGTGATATTACCATGACATCTATTCACCTGCTTTCCTCGCTTTTTAACAAGAATATGACCACTTCCTTCTTCCTCATAATATTAACCAGCCATTCCACAGCGCTGATGATAGAGGTATGGGGGAGATTAGAGAACATCTCTTTCACATCGTAGCTGGCTGCCAAAAGACCTTCGACGTTGGAGAGGGCAGAGTTGGGAAGATCAAGTCGCGAAAGAAGAAGATGAGATGGGCATTTCATGTTGAAGTGAGCGTTAGAAGGTAAATACCAGAGGAGGTAATTAACAGCCTTGGAGATGACTTCGCTTAGACGTGTAAGCGGATCAGTGCATGATGGACGTACCGGACGCCAGCGAGAGACATCTTTATGCTTTGGCAGACAGTAACCGCGACCTAAGCTACATTTATAATTCCATGATGAAGTCACCTTCCCAGTTTCCTCTTATGAAACTTTTCCTTAATGTCTCAAGTCACCTCAGCCTCAGAACTTGGACGTGCTCAAACCCTTTTAGTTAAAAAAAAAAGAAAACAGACCATCGATACCGTCTTCGTACAGAACAGGGCAGCAGACAAACGTGTCTCCCACGTTATGATCTAATGGGCAGACCACTAAATTATGCACCTTATCTTTCCATTCCTCGACAATGCGTAGGTCACAATGAGAGGAGGACACATATTCCGACGGATGATTCCTATTCCTATCGTAGATTTGGAAGAGAGTGGTGTCATTCTGAATCTGGAGAAGAGTTGAGATTTTGGAACAGAGTTAAGACTTTCAGAAAGGTTAGGGGGCGGGCTTTGAGTATCAAAAAAGGGAAAAGCAACATGACCAGTCTCGTTCCTAGCAAATGATGACTCACTACATGAACAGGGGAGAACAGAAGCTTTGGCGGAGAGCCGAAAGTTGTGGAGGTAATCAGCAACGGACTTGTTCCTAGGACAGACAATCTTCAGACGTCGACAGATAATATCTTGCAAAGGTTTCCGAATCGAAGAACAGCGGACTACTTCAACACACAAGTTCCGTAGTGCCACTTTATTCAGAGCATCATCAAAAGTAATACGTATCACCTGTTCAATGCGAATATTAAAGCTGAACTTAACCTTCAAAACCCTAGCCAACACATTCCTAAGCGTAGTACCCCTATCTTTTTTGGAAAAAACCTCTCACAGCATTGTACTACTTAAGAAAATAGTCGAATGACTGACGGTAGAGAATCTTGCGGGAGGCAGGTTGGGAGAGCAGAGGGAACAGGAGTTCTTCGATTTGTTGAAACGAGAACAGAAGCGGGAAAGACTATCGACAATCAAGGTATCACCAGTCACAAAGCATGGTCTAGCATTTCGAAAAAGACCAGTACCTTGCGATAATTTAATCACAGTTGACCCGTACAATCTTTAACAATCTTCCATTTCTCACGCCAAGCGGTACCGCCAGTACATTTGATTGAGAACTTCGAAATAGAATGCTCAAACGCAAAATCAAAAATCCTGCGCAAACATGACGACGATTGCCCAAACGAAGCTTCAAACACTAACAAGCCTTGCGCTGCTCTATAAACCCTAATTCCAGACTTCTTCTTCCTTTCCTTCTTACCCGGGCGATTGACTTTTTTCCCATTCTTTGTCCTCACTTTTTGTGCGGAGTTCAGAAACGGACAGTAAACAAATTAAGAAACGCTTTACGTCCAACAAATCATGGTGAACAGCCTGGCACAGGGGCACATCAACGTAGCCCTCCAAACCTTGACGTGGCAACCATCGACACACCTGGTGATTTCTCGATTCAGTAGAACGTGCTAGTGCCCTGTTAACATGCTCCTCCCATCGTTGGCCTAAACTACGACCCGGGCACCCTATATATACATGCTTTGACCACGGCGAGATTAGTGCGCATACAAGAGGACCAGGGCAGGACCTGAGAGCATAACCCGTGGAGATAAGATCAGCTAGCTATAAGTGGAATGAACTTAGACGTTCACGGAATAGAGAAGGTTAAGATTAGGAAGATAACATCGATTCAAAATAGATAGTCAAGAGAGCAATCCAAGAGAGATTCCTTACTCCTTCGTAGGTCCCGAAGCGAGAGGACAGAAGTGGAAATAGTACCAATGCTCCGGAGCAGGTCCTACGTGGTAGATGTTTCCTCCGATTTCCCCTCTGCCTGGGTTTCGTCATTTTCAGGTTCCTCTGAGTCATCTTTGTCCTCATCCTGTTCATCTCCTTCTGACAACCGCTGCCTTGAAACCTGCTTCTCGAAAGCACGAGTGGTGTACACGACCGATAGCTGAACAGCAGTCTTCTTGATACCCCCATACGTAACCCCCTTCATCTCGGCACAGTGATTCCAATTGACCCTTCTTCATTTTTCCCAACTCGTTATCAACTCTCTTGAAAAACGTGTCCTTCTCTTCACCCACGATTCTCGTAAAGGTCACTTTGATCTCATCCTGTTCATTCTCCGTAGTAGCAGCGTTCAGACCTCCATCTCTTGCAGGGCTGACATTGGTCCTGGACTGCGCTTTCTTTTTCGAACTCGGTGGTGACGAACAAGTCTTCAAGCGGTTGACTCTTTCTTTCAGAGCTGTTACCTCCGTCAAGCGATAATCCTTCTCGTCTCGTTCCCTTAAGCTTCCTCCAGCTTGGCCCATTCCGCAGGTGTGCGCTCATCATTCACTTTGGATTTCCCTTTCGCCGGTTCAGCTGGTGGACTCTTCTCGGTCACAGACTCTGATCCACGCCTAGCACCGCACTTCAACTCTTCCTTCTCTCCTCGCAGTTTCGTGAATGAGAGGTTGATTGTCCGATTCCAGCGCCTGCAATTTCTTCTCTTCTAACCTCCCGTCTTGTACGAGTTGCCTGAGAGCTTCCAAGTTCATCACTCTTCTGTCTCGACGCCTGTTCCTGCACGTTGTCTTCCTCATTTCTCCTCCATCTGTCTTCTCTTCTTCGCAATTCACCACTCGTAATCGTAGCAGCCTCACTACTCGTTGACGTTTTCTTGCCAATAACCTCTTTGCAAAGCTCTTTCATATTTGACTTGACCATCCCGCCGAACATCTTGTCGAAGTCATCCCCTTCTTTCTGCTTCGTGCTTTTTTTCGTCCTCCAGCTCCTGTAATTTCTCCTTTTCCTCTTCCTCCTTTCTTATACCATCTTCTTCTCTCCCTCGTTGTCTTTCGCATCCATCTCCTCTGAAAACCGACCCCACACTTTGTCCAATTTTTTACTCTTTTCTCTCTCCCTATTCTCGACCCACCAATTCTCATTTCTCCGATACTGTCCTCCATTCCGACCGTTGTTATTGTATCCACCATCGTACCGATCATTATAACCGCCATTATAGCCTCCGTTGCCTTGATATTTTTGGTACGACCCTCCATCCTGCTGATCACCGTTATTCCTTAGTGCCTGGTTCGGCACAATCGCATTGCCGTTCGGTGCTGGAAGCAGCCCGTTGCTCTCCCGCACTCCCAACGCTTGACCTTCGACTTCCAGCAGAGCCGCCTAACAATGCGGCAGCATTCGGGATTTGCCGTACTTGGCATTCCCTAATAACGTGCCCTGGTTGGCCACAGTGATGACAGACGCGAGGACTCGAGGACCGCCGTTATACATGGTGAGGGATAGACAATACAAGATAAGTAGGGAAGGTCGAATATGTAGACGGTAGAACCACATGAAGTCGACTTCGAAAGAGAAGGAATAGTATAGCTGAGTCGACAATCGACACTCGTAAGGTGCGAGCACGCACTGGTGCTGCAGCACAATCAGTCTTAGTGCGGGTATTGTTGTGTGATATTGCGAGGTTTGACCCTGTTGTCAAATGGATAATGTGAAAACGTTTTGGTTCCATGGGAGAAAAAACATGCCAGGAAAAGGAAATGTTTTTTCTTTTTTCTTTCTAAAGTTTTTATTCATTATTCTTTCGTACGTTGTGCTTATTGCTGGCACTGTGTTGTGATATGTGGAGGTTCTGTCCATTATCTGCCGTGCACTGAGAACAGAATATGTTTTTTTTCTTTCATGCCAGAAGAACGTGTCCGAATTTCTGAAAAGGAATGTATTGTCGTCTCTCGTTCGTTTTTTATTCATTCCACTCCGCATGGGACAATCAGAACTTAGTAAGAAGCAAGGGAAAAAAAAGCTGCAGGACCGTTTTCATTTTCTGCTAAGCAGGTTCTGGGTGACGGAAGGGGAGGATTTCCTTTTGACGATAATTGGATAATGGGATTAAATGGGGTGGCTTGGATATATGTAGCTACCCCGGACGGTCGAGTGCCTGCTTGTCTGATCTCCGCTCAGGTTTCCTTGTTCGTAGGCGTGGGCATTGTCTGTTGACTTTTTTTCTTTGTTTTTTTGGTACCCCAAACAGTCACAGATCTGCCGAGGGTGGTGGTATGAGCAACTATCATCAGCAGCCTGTGCTAGGCTCCGATCTATTGGTGGGGGGCTACACCTGCTGGATACCAGGTCCAGCGTCCCTCACAAAGAGTGAAAAGCTATTCTTCAGAAGACAATCAGGACGGCCCACTCCCCTGCTGCTCGAGACCCTCTGCAGGGGGTGCTAAAGCTGAAGTAAGAAAAGTCAGAATCTCCGGAACCACCCAATTAGTCCCATCCATTATACCAAAGAGTCGTCAAGAAACCTTAGCTCTTCGGTGGATTCTTGAAGGCGCCTTGTGGAGACGACGTTTGACAAAAAAAACATAAGTTTAGAATCTTTAGATCAATCTGTATCTGCTGATGTCCCAGGGGGGCCACGACTCTCCTCTGCGGCTGTTGACTTACTGTTCATGACGTTGCATTTTCAATGCAGTGAATCCCTTCTGCGTCATTAAACTGGTCGGGGATATACCGACTGGCTGGGGATATGCTGTGTCAATAAACCTGTCGGTTGCGATGTCTTCAAAAGACAAAAATGGGCTTCCCCGTGGGTTCATCGGCCGCGCAGGACGTCTTTGCGCTCTTCTTTTATCGTCGCAAAATAACTGCCGGTCACCCATTGATTTCAGGG